AAAGGCTTAGCAAGCTGTGCTGCTTGGCACTGCATGCCAATCATACAAAACTATATCTGACTACTGCAAAAACTAAATTCCAGTAATTCAATTTTACTTTAAACAATTGCACATCATCTCGACTTGAGCAATTAAGTGATTCTCAGCCAATGAAATAAGACAATTATCACAGCAGGGAGCAGACAGCCGACCCTCGGATGTCTCTGCTGAAATACAGAGGCCATGTTCAGTTGCATCCACCTCAGGCTAGTGTGCATGGAGCGCAGAGGGAAGGCCTTCACGGTACCGTAGTCCGAGAGAGCGGGCCACGTCACAACAAACTGCATCTCACGAGCAACAAAAAAAAAAAAAAAAACAGACTTTGCTGATCACCTGCCAAGTGTTCTGAATGAGCCACAGGTTCCTCATGTACCTGTAGGTATGGCTGATGATCATATTCCTTTGCACTTGGCCTTGTGCCAATGCTCCAGAGGCTGAACAGTGATAATAGACAGCAGGCCAAGGTCACCATTTTGAACAATCTGCACAGCTTAGACCGCTCACAGAACCAACAGCCAACAATACCCTTGACCCCACCATCAGTGTTTCCAAACTCATCTACTACACAGAGTTTGCAGAATTGCAAACCCAACCCCCTCCCCATCTACGTATTCCTCAGTAATCATTAATACCAGGGAGCTGTTGCCTGCTGGACAGGAATCAGTTACCTTTCCTCACCGTTCGACACGTCCAACCCCTCCAGGTTATGGTTCTCATTATGTAGGTCCGTTCAGGTGGATGCTCTCATACACGGATTCAGAATTTTAGACAGCGGGCACCAGTTCATTGCTTGATATAATATCCGTTTGAATTTTTATTTATTTTCTCTTGCACATAGTTCTTTGGTTTCAATGTCTGTAAGACTACATGTTCATTGTGAATAAACTGGGCACAATTACGTCAGGCTGACTGCTAGTCTTTGTTTTGGTTCAATGGCTGCTCTGTAGGTGGTACACTGGCGTCTGACCAATGATTGACAATTCGTCCATCTTCTCAGCAGACATACAAAAGTATTGGTAATATCTTTCTGAGTGTAGCCTCAACTCCTAGATGAGTTGATGATTATTGCCTTGTTGTCCTACTTCCTGGTTGATTGGATGGACCCCATGGTGACTTCTCTCCTCTTTGACCTCCTCCACCCCCATCTCCTACCCTGCTAACGTCATGATTATTTGAGAATATCTAAATATGATAGGGTTGAATGGATGCATAAGATGCACATGATTTTGAAGTTATTTTCATTGTACTCATGTGATATACAAAGAACATTTCAATACTGTTCTAAACACAGAACAATGGGACAAATTACTCACCCGTTTTTTGATGGTGTGAACAGACCTAGTCGATCGATCAGCAACAGGGTACTTTCCGAACGCTAATCAAAGGATGAAGGGCCAGTTAATTTGGTTTGAGGGGCCTTTTCTGTCTCGTGAACTCAACCCTCTGACTCATGCTCCTCTCCAGCTCCAAGGAACGCGGAGTGGCAGAGACTGTAGGCGCTTTGCCCTGGTGGTCTGGAATGGAGCGGGAGCATAAGCGATTTCGGTGTAACGGTTAACTGAACAGGAGGTCTTTGGTAGTGTGTTTTCTGCATGTCTCTGCAAACAGAGACATGGAGGGGTTGCTACAACAGACTGCATTAATTATTTTCTGGATAGCAAATGAAACATCACTCAGAGTGGCCTGTGAAGGTTTCAGATGGTATCAAGCAGTGTCTACACCATAATTCAATTGAGTTTAAGAGCCTGGCACAATCATCACTAATATTCAAGAAATTAGGATAAATGAATAAATCATAAAGTGATGCAAAAGCATATGATGCTGTGCATTGAATGTTATGCTATGCTAAAAATATGTTGACACATCAGTTACTAGACATGACACTATTATTTATATATTTTTACCTGCAAACAGTAGGTGTGATCTGGTGATACCTCATCCAGGGAAGACACCTCGGCTGCAATTTGGTCCCGCCAAAAAGTACCGCTGACTGCTCCCAGCTCTGCCTCCCCCTAATCCCCATCTACAGCCTCTTCTGCCTCACCCTCTGGTGCCATCACATCACCAGCACCCAGGGAGATATTGTGAAGGATGGTTCATGCTGTTATAACCTGGGAGGGTTAAATAACATATTATTTCACTTGCCATGTGATTATTTCACTTGCCTTTACGCTGCAAAACAATGTATTTACTTTACTTGGAAATGATTATTTCTCAATATCATACATAATATCTCTGATGAGGTTACTGCTGGAGCTCCCCAAAAGTGAGATTAGGACACAAATCTGTGGCGAGAGTAGCTCTGCACCCATTCTTTGCTCGCCCTACGTGGGATGTGTCACGTCTCCCAAGTGACACATCAGTGAGTTTCCTACCCTAGTCTAGATCAATTCAGAGTTGAGGATTTGAATCTGAGTCAATCTGGCGCTCCATTCTCCCCTCACTCGACAACAGCAGAACCCCAAGATACCAGGACTCCTCCACTTGAAGCATCCCCTCGATTTTTAAACAGGTGAACAAGCTATTAGAGTACTTCAAACCTGATGAAACAAAAGCATGAATCTTTTTGAAGCTTAGGTCTCAGGTAAATAGACTATACCAAGGTTCTGCAACCTGCTGCCAGAGGTTCCAAATAGGGCCCTTAATAGTGGCATAAAATGATACAAAGAAGCAACAAATGTAGGCGAATGATGAATACCAGTCTTAGAAAAATTACTGGGTTTTATAAGATATTTGATGGAAATTTCTCAATGGAATGACATTAAAATCCCAGAAAATATGTTTTCAGATCTACTTTTCTTGACATTATTTTTTTTTTTTTTTACATTTAATAAAATCCTACGGAGGAAAATCTGTGCTTCGTCTTTATAAAATGTTTTATGGTTTTCCTCATTTTTAAGCTAGAAATACAGATAAAATGTTGGTTATTTAAAATGGAAACTTTTTCCTGCAACAGATATTTAACAAAGATAAGTTGTGTTAAAAAAATAAAAATAGTCATAATCAGTCAACAAAGCTTCAATAGGTGGGACTCTATATAACTCTTTATCAGTCAGACTTGGGGCAAAATGGCTCTTTGGATTTTAAAGGTTTCAGATCTCTGATTTAGAGGAATGATTTAATTAACTTGATTTTATTGCCTTGCTAAGATTAACTATGTGCTCTTTAGCAGCAGGAAGAGAACTCTCTGGAGCAATGACGAGTTTCAGTTTTGTTTGAGCTTGACTGTGAACAATTGTCAGCCAATATTTTACATTTAAAAGCAACAGAGGAGATATCAAAGGCCATTGATCAAGGAAAATCATTTGATAAAAAAAAGCCCTCATTACTCATTAGCAAACTGCAGAAGTACAAACTACAATGTTATATTCTGGCAATGATTATAACTGCTACTTTAAATCAGCAATTAAGTACATTTAAAAAATGGATGAATAGTAATAAATCATTACTGAATGTAGAGAAAATTTAGATGATATTTGGTAAATGATACAAATAATGCATATATACAATTTGATCAAGTACTTATTGAAACTATAAAGGAAATTTAAGTAGTGGAAGTCCCGCTACAGATACATACAAAACAGAGTGAAAAGCATTGCCATCATGAACAGAATTAGGTCACTTTTTATTGCTCATTAGTTCTTCCTTATTTTACACACTGAGTACAGATTTGGGGAAAAGATTAAAAAATGCATTAAAGTTAGTGGTGCAGAAAGGGGGGTGGTCTGTGTAATGCAAAAAGTTGGGTAGCTAGAACACTCAACTTCTGTTTTTAAAGTTAAAAGCATTTCAGGACCTGGTTCATTATCATGCAGCACAGGTTGGAGAGATCCAACAGGATTAAACCAGTACATCTTCTTAGTTTCTCTTATACTGGACAGGAGACATTTGTTTTATTACACATGGCTTTAATCTCTTCTTTTGCAGCCTTAACAAAAAGACTGCTGGAGTTTTTAGATGTATTGTGGACCCATTTCATAGGACTTCAGATGTCAGTGTAAATCAAGACTAAATGTATTTATTTTTTTTGCCCTGGAAGATGTTCGACTCAAAAACTAGACATTTTGTATATTTGCTGCCCTGATTAGTACCAGCTGTGTGTTGCAGAAGCCGCCCCTCCTGAGCCTGGATATGTGCTCCACTTGTTTCTGCTAGAAGACAGTTTTACTTCACCCCTGTTGCCACATGCTTGTTCAGAGTGGATTTCTTTAAGTGGAAATTAAAAACATTTAATTCATTGCTTAATTGCTTCAAAAGTTTAACTTAAAAATGAATCATTTCCATTAAGAGCATCGAATAATGACAACAGTATTTTTTCATCATCTTCCCAGAAGATTTTATTAAACACTTCACATAAATTATTAGCTAAACTAAAAAATGATCAGACGCCCTTACCCTTAAAAACAAAGAGTTGTTTCCAACCATTACAAATGTCTTAATAAATCTTTACATGGCTTTGTTTCATGACTGACAAACAATACTGTGTATTCAAATAACTCAAAGAAAACTGTCTTATTTTTCTAACATTTCAGCCATGCTTTTATCAATAAGAGTCAACTTTGCTCAAAAGTAACTTCTAGCTCCCATTTATTTTGCTTTTATCTTCTGTTCCCACATGAACATGTGATGAGATTAGCCTCCGTTCACTTCAATCTTATTAATCACACTTTAATCCCCTCATTAAACCTGCTGTCCCTGCTGCTCAGTATGAGGTCCCACATTCCTCTGCTGCTAAAGACATATCAGCTGCCAGTTTTTCCTTGTTTATTCAATATTCAGCGGTTTGACTGCTTGAACTTTAAAGCCTAATTTCTGAGTAAAAGAAACCTGCAATCAAGGTGAAATCAAATAATTAGTAGACTGGTTTTATGTTTTTAAATATTTTAATTGTCAATCAGATATGACAGGAACTGAATTCAATATCCGTATATAGAATTATACGTTTATCTAACATAACAAATCACAGCTTCATACAAAATAAGAATAGAAAAAGACTGCACTGTACAAATATTTAAAGGAACGCTTGTTGGGTTTCTGAAGAGCATCGAGTTTCTTGTGGAATAAAGGTGAATCTTTACGGTTTCCCTTGTGACGTTTATTCCATAGGTTTCTCCTGCCCGTCTTTGAACTCTGTAACTCTGGCCTGGAACACAAGAACATGAGTCACATGGTGGGTCTACGATTAGAGCATCCATTTAGAATAAACGAGCCAAAGCTCATCTATACACACACATTGTATGTCATTTATTAGAGATTGACCAATAGTTTGTTTTAAGGCTGATGCTTTTATGACATCAAGGAAACATCTCTAATGCAGGCTGCCAATCTTTGAGGCGAATGTTGTTCTTTTAACAAATGTTAGATAAATCTCAGTGTAAAAAACATAAAACATTCATTAACAAGTCAAATAAAACATTAAGAATAGATAGGAAATGGAGGGATGCAATATATGCGCTTCACCTGATCTCAAAGCATGGCGGCTGATGCACTAATTAATCAGCAAACAAATGGTTCTGACGCTGATACAAGAAAAACACGATAACATCCACAGGCCAATATATTTAATATGCATCACCTAAGTAATTAGATACATTTAGTTATTTTTGGGAATAAAAATGTATACCAATGAATAGGGCTGGACAATTAATTGCATTTGCAATCTAATCGCAATTTAACAAAACCCAATTTTCATTCTAGATTTAAGAAGAGTAAGACTCTGGCTTAGTCACTGCGGCCCTTTAGGTGCCAATAATACACTAAAAGTGGGTTTGCTGCCACATAAAAGCTACCATACAGACCCACGGATGCAAGTAGAAGTAAGCATCGTACCAAGAAACAGTAACAGTAAAGTGCTGCAACAATGGCTGGTTTATGTTGAAATTGAAGGACTTTAATGTACTTGTTTGTTTTGTTTTTTTCTGATGATCTGCTCAAAAAATTAATTAATTTATTGTCTCATTTCCTGTCTGACTCGTGACCAGGCCGCCAAAATGTGCTCAGATCCTGGGATTTTTAAGAAGCAGAAAGCAGTGGAGGGAGAATCACAAATGCTTTACTAAATAAAACACAAGAGAACACCTATAAATTGCTGCATGCCCTTCTTTAACCTTTATCAAGCAAAAACATATTGAGGCCTGTTTTATTTTGCAAAATATCTTAAGTTTAATCAGATTGTATCGAGGGACAACTGGTGGCAAACTCTCTTTATGGTGGTATCAGAATAAACATGACTGATTGGTGGACCCAAAACACACCTTCCAGATGTTTATCTCTAAAGTTTCAGTAAAATGAATACTTTTTAAAAGCCTGTAGAGCTGTACATGAATAATCCATCCCCAAGACTGAGCCCAGTCTGGGAAGCAGGGTTCTTTTGCTTCTTCTCTTCCAAGAAACAGAAATCTCAGAATCCCCACAGCGAGCAGAAAGTTGGACCCTTCCACAAGATTGATGTCGATGACAACCAACGCACAGGGATGACTGATGAGCTTCCAGATTAGCTGTAATTCTAGGTGTATTTCCAGCTTTGGTAGCGAGTCAACCAGAAAACTGGAGCCTGTGGATTAGCAGGCCAAACGTTCAGACTAGGATGATGTATCACGCTAAAAGAACAGCAGCAAAACGCAAACATGACAGGACGGAATGGATGGACCGCCTGCTATGAGTTTCTGGGAGTTGAACCAACAGCAGCCACGGCTCCTAAACCACACGAGCAGTTGGAGATTTTCTGTGCCACAAGCATTCAGGCGATAACCGTTGGCAGATCTGAATGCACTGAAGAACACTCGAAAGGAACCATTTCAAAGAGAATGGCGACGCCACAGCAATAAAACACCAACTGTAGAAATAGATTCACATCTAACAGTGCAGGCCGTGTTCCTACAGGGCCATCAGCAAAGGATCAAATCATAACAAGCTGACATGGATTATTTAAATTGACTTCAGAGAAGAGCAGGATGGAGATCCAAAATAAAGATGTAAGAAGGTGACATCAAACGCATCCAAGCAGTCAGAAATATTTGGACTCATTGCTCTGTGTTTCTCTGCACTATTATTCAGTAATAGTACATAGTAAAACATTGTTAATTAGGAGGTCTGGTGAAAAACTGGTTATAAAGAGTGAAAATAAAACAAGCCTCCGCTTTTTGTTTCCACTCTTCCTTTCATGTTTTTACTCTTAGTTTTCTTTCAGGACCGTAAATAATTATATTCCTGGTGTTAAATCTTCCTTAATGCAAAGGTCAACAGGCAACCAAGGGGCTCCAACAGAGAACCTTTAAAAAAAATCCTATTTGGCTGGAGAGTTGTACCTGAAAGGTGTTGAGGACATGTTGACAAACATCATGGAGATCACTGAGGCCTTTTCGCAGAGGCTCCACAGCTGGAATCCCTCCTGAAACGATCAGAGAAGACATTATTGAAAACCCAACCCAGATGGAAGCTCTAACAGCTGAACTATGATGGTAACTAACATCACATGTTCTTTTTTTCCCCATGTGTGAAAACTATAATCACGGTTCCAGTTTGTAAACCCACACAATGGAGCATTTAGGCTAAAGCCTGGATCACACAGGTTGCATCTGACTTTTTAATCTTCAATTTTTTTTTTTTTTGGTCACACGGACTGGATTGCGTACAGAAAGGCTCCTACTGCAGTAGCAGATTTTCTTCTTCCACTTTTGTTATTGTGCCCCATAAACTGAAAGAATGTCCCGCTTTTGACAAATTGAGATAAATAAAAGTAAAAAAATAAAACAATAATAAATACAGCTGGTGGGATTACAAAGCAAAGCCTCACTTCCTTAAACCAGAAGAGATGGAATAATTTAATATATGCTTTTAATGAGGGGAGATCCTTAGAGATAAGTGTTTTTTTTTTATAAAGAGGGAAAGTGATAAGCTACTCTTTCCCTCACTGTACCCACGTTTAATTTTTTTGCGAGGATCAAAGAGGATCACTATTTTACTTTCTGTCCTCCTTAACTCCTATCATGGGTGAAATATTCTGTTTTTAAAAATATTTAATTGACCGTTTATGAACAAGTCTGCCCCGCCTGCTACGTATGCTCTGTGACTCCAAACCAGTCTTTTTATGAGATAATGTAAATTCCACCTAAGCCGATGTGCGTTACTTTGCACCAGCATCTCTCTTTCTGTCAGAAATTGCCACTGAATTTTTGCGCAGTTTGACTAAAAGAGACCTGGAGTGTCTCTTAGTTGGAGCTACAAAAGCCCCCCTTGCAGAAAATTGAATCGTGTGTGTTCATCCCAATTTACTGTCAATGAGTGCTAAACGTCGCGACCTCTTGCGACATAATTTTGTGTTGGACTGGACGATAAATCGTCTTTGAGGTTTTCAGGGATTCACTTCCTGAACACGTTTTCATCCTTTTACCTAATTTTGTTGACTTGTGTCAGGTTCAACTGAATTTTCTAAAATAATATTTCTATTGGTGCAGAATCCTTTCATGACTGTTGACATGACAACCAGAGGAAAATGTGTATATACACAGCTCAAGAAATAAATTCCCAATTCTGAATGAATATTCTCATAAATACTTTGTTCCTCTGATGAATGAACTGAAAACAAAAATGCACCAATTAAAGTGGAGAAACATTACAGGCTGATTCAGCTTTGATGTGATTTCCTTAAAACAGGTCAAAACGAGGCTAAGTATTGTATGTGGCCTCCATGTGCCTGTTTGACCTCCCTAAAATGCCTGGGCATGCTCCTGATGAGGTGGTGGATAGTCTCCTGAGGGATCTCCTCCCAGACGTGGACTAAACCATCCATCAACTCCTGGACAGTCTGTGGTGCAATGTGATGTTGGTGGACGGATGGAGACATGATGGTCCAGATGTGATCAATTGGATTCAGGTCTGGGGAACCAGCGGCCAGTAAATAGCTTCGATGTTTTCATCTTCATGACCCACTCCAACTACATGAGGTCTAGGATTGTCCTGCATTAGGAGGAACCCAGGGCCAACCGCACCAGCATATGCTTTCTCAATGACTCTGTTACCTAACGGCAGTCATGCTACCTCTTACGAGCACATGGAGGGCTGTGCTGCTGTCAGCCGATGAACAAGATGTGAAACTGATTGCCAATCAGTGTGGACAGCTTTATTTCACATTCATTTGATTTTAATAGTTATAATGTGTCGTTTACACGATACCTTTATTTTTTTAAGCAGTATATTTTGAACCCATGAAAATGTATAAAACAATTATCTTTATACTATTATTTTTGTCAGTGAATTTTCTTTCTGCACCACTAAACTTTCTGTAAAAGCATTATTTAGAAAATATATTTTAACAAAAATAGTTGACAATGATCTTTAAAGGTGTAGTAGGAGATCTTTTCTGCATTTTTTACCATGTGGCTTGAAGATCTCCCCACAGCCGCCTTGCAAACATTGAATGTTTTGGTGCTTAAAAGTTGATTTTGATTTCTTTTTAGCTGATTTTAGTATATTCTTTTTAATTAAAGTGTACTTTAAATTGATAAAATATTAGTAGGATGCTTTTAAAGATTTTGATAGCCCTCATTAGCCCAAAACTGAAATAGGTTTTAATTTGACAAAAAAAAAAAAGAGCTTCTTTAAAATCCATTGCACCATCCTTGAGATGGACAATAGAAATAGTTTATCTGCTAATTAACAACAAACCAGTAACAACAAAAACAATAACAGAAACTTATCAATAAGGTATTATACTGTAATACATTATTTCGGGTAACAGCTGAGAGGTTCTATGTTGTGGGTTTAATTTTATTTCCCCTCAAATGGCAATCTAACTTACTTTAAAAACACTTCACAGATCCAAGTGATAAATTAAATGATGCAACTATTATTAAAGGGGTTTCTTTAAGAGTTGCTGTAGTCAGGAAGGACCTCCTGTAGAGGTCAGTCTTACAGCGGCTTTAAAAAATGCCTCTGACTGAAGACGCTGTCGCTTTAAGACATTCTGATTAAGATGATACTTAGGGGTTTTCTAAAATTATTTGCAGAGGCTCAGAACAGAACCAAACTCCTTCATTAGCTAATAATTTGTATATTCACAGCAGGTAATGACCCTCCCCCCATCCCGACAAAATTTAAATACAGAAAATAACTCATTGACATCAAGCCAGTAAAATGCAATTCCCTGTGAAATGACTGCATCAAGTTTTAAGCAGTTAATATTCAGGAGATTTACGCAAATAGGATTAATCTGTAAAGTAATTTCGCTTCTTTTGGATGTTTATGTTTTTAATGACCCAAGGGGATATTTTTTTGTGCAGTAATTTAATTTAATTTTAAACTCTATGGGAAAAGGTCTCTCTTACATAAAAAGATTAAGATTCTGTGAAGTACGTCTTTAAAAATGTCCTTAATGATGCCAAACACAATACACTGGAGGGCTCAAACTACACATGAAAAGAAAGTGGATATCGTGTGAATAACAATTTGATACAGAAACTATGCTTTCGTAAACATAAAGAGTTCACACACTTTCTGCCTTCAGAGGATAGGATAACCTTTTCTCTTTAATACTAATCCAATAAAAAACAAACAAATAAAAACATAAATATATATTGCATATATTTCAAATCTAGTCTAAGAAACAGCAGCGCTACAGTTTATAGTGTTTTATCTCAGAGTTAAACCGAATGCAGGGAATAAACTGAACTTTTTTTTATTTGAAAATCATCAGTTGGCACCTGCTGCGAACAGCAAGTGAACACAGAGGCTAAAAGTACGCTAAAAACTGAAGGAAACTCAATCACATGTGGTAAACAGCGAATAGGGTCAAGCCAGGACAAACATTTAGACATTATTCTAAACATTGATAGATAAATAGAGCAATCAGTCATAACTTTCATCCGTTTACCGCTTGGTAGTAGTGAGGGAGGCAATAAAGGCAGATTTAGACAAAAAGCAGCTTTTATTGCATCAATGCCTGAGTGCAAGAGAGGAACAATCAGTCATTTGGGACCTGAAGGCCAAACATGTTTAATGAAGTCATGATCACAGATCCTTGGGTCCAAAACTTTGCCCCAATAACAAGAAGTTGTTTAGTTAAGTCCTTTCATGTGATTTTTGTTGTTTAAATGGCAAAATTTGGGACAGATAATACGTCACTAGTGTTTGTGTTACTGTGTGTTTATGAGATCCAGTGTTGACTCAGAGTCCAACGCTGGACTTTCTACTGCAACCAGTGACCTAAGTGAACGCATAGGACTCCAATCAGAGTGTTTACTTCGCAACCCGGACTGAAAGTTCTCTTTCAGATGCTCTACATGAGTGCAGATAGGCTAATCTGGAGCATCAGACTCACTGTGCCGTAAATCAAAATGGCATTTTACTTTCTCCTACATTTAGAGCCACAAACATGAAGATATTTCACTGGGATTTAAGGTCAGGGATCCTAGTGCTGGGTTCAAAGGTGAAACGAAGAGAATAGGTGGGTGTTAAAAGCTGCACACACATCTGAAAATTGGAGCATTAATTTGCATTCACCCCCTCAGTAGTACTTGGTAGAATCATCATAGTTTGTATTAGCTTAGCTATGCTTTTTTTTTTTTTTTTATCTATTCAGGTCTGGTCAGTTTAATTCACTTTTCTATTATAGTGGACTAATATTTAAATGGAGTCGGATCTTTAATAGTCTAAGATGATGTTTGCAGAGGCACTACGGCAACAACCTGTACTGTTTATAGGTGTTGTCAGACTAATGATACGTTCAGATAAAGCGCAATAAAAGCAGCAAAAAAGCTTCTGCTGCTTCATTTTTTATGCGTGTACACAATAGGGGTGTAATTAATAATTGTTTTGTATCGATGCATCGATCCAACAGCCGACGATCTGATGCATCGATAGGCCCGCAAGAGTATCGATTCATGTTTTTTTTTCCCTCCGGTCTATTTTTATCCATTTGTTGCAGTAAGGATTGACACAGACATTTTTGATTTATGCCCAATATTGAAGCGTGGTCTGTGCTACACACTGTGGGTCTAGATACGGCCGAGGCGGAGAGGAAGTGGGGGCGAGTTTAGTCCGACGACGGAGGGACATGAGAGCCAAAAAGAGCGGAGATCCAGGTGGAAAAAGGATCCCAGCGTTCTCACGCACCTCGTTCTTCTAGCTGGTCAAACTTCACGAGTTGTTTTCCGCAATTTCGGTCATGAAAACAAAACAAGCCGGCCTCCTGTCTGCTGCACTGTTTGCGGTCAGCTACAATTTGGGAGAGGAGCAGCGGAGCATCTGTGGAGGGGGCGGGGACGTCTAAAGCCGAGGTATTGCATTGCACTCATTGCACTGATTTTGTGCAGTATTTTTTGATGCAAGGCCTTTCAGAATCTATAACGCAGGGGTATTAATATTTTTCAGTGAATGAGGTTTTAATAGGAATAGGTGGAGTACAACTTTTCTACTTCTGTTATTTTCTGTAGTTTCTCAAAAAAAAAAAATGCATAACGATATTACAGCTTTCATTGATTTATTTCAAATTTGAAACATTGTCTAGCCTGTAAGGTGTAAAAAAACAAACAAAACTGAACCAATTAATCAAATCGAATCGAATCGTGGTATATTCTTGAGTATCGAAAATAATCGAATCGTTGGGTCAGGAAATCGATACTGAATCAAATCGCCATGATGGGTGTGATTTATACCCCTAGTACACATTGACGTCAGCTGTGCCTCAAGAGGATCTTTGATGCTCCTGAAACGTGTCCAGTAAAGTGTGTCCAAGATACGTCTGATGCTTCTGGTGCTCCTGTTTTCAATGGCAGAGAACGGCTTTGCTATATTTGCTGTTATAAGTGGATAAAAAGTAGTTTTAATATTTTTTAAAGTGAGAAAGTCCACCTCAAAACATCCTCTATGGAGTCAGTTCATCAAGATTACGATCTTGCTTTCAAATATTAATTCGCTGTCGTACCAGCATGCAACCCCCATACACCAGCGGTGCGCTGTCAGTGGAAATCCCCAGCAACAGCTGCCTCTAGCCCGGTCGATTCTTGGGGGTTTTCTGCTACGGTTCGTTGCTTCATGTACATAATCCAAACTGCAGGGCCCAGAATAATAAAAGCGAACATATTTTGCCAGCAATTCTAAGTTAATTTAGGCATTAATTAGCTGTTTTAAAGGAGTGATCGTAGTGATCTGCATCAGCAGTGCTGTGTCTGTCTCCCTGCCAGCTCCCACATCAGCTTCTCTGATTGGTTGATGTGAACCAATCAGACCAATGGTTTGCTGCATCAAGCAGCTAAAGTTAAAATTTTCCAACTACAGCATTTGCTGCTTGGGAAGGACGTCACATGCATCAAAAGCTCAGAAGCTCATGAGGCGCAGCTTCAGCTGCTTAAATGTGTCAATATTAGCTGCTCCTGCTGTTCAAAACACACTCCAGGACCTTTTGATGCACCTTGATGCGTGTTAACCATTGACTTTGCATGTAAACCAGCTGATTCTGCTATTCAGCAGATTCAATGTAGCATCAGAGGAGAGGCTCAGTTGTGCTTGATCATGTCTGCAGCGTTTATGCTCCATGCAGCTTTACCCTTGTTCTAAATATTCAGTCCAAATCCATGTGGATACGGCACAAACTGTAAGTGTACAACACAACATCTAGAAGTAGAATAAACCAGTTTCCAACATTCTTTATGCCTCTTGGCGTCATCCATGAGTCACTGTGGTGATATTTATGGGCCAAATCATCCGATGTCTCTACATGTTTATATGAGCGTACACTTTTCATCTGTTTTTCTCCATGGAGCCGTCTGTTTAGTTCCAAGTTTTCCTTGGTGCGCATTGCAGAAATTCAGATGGCAGGTGCTTAAATGACCCAAATTGGCTGGTCTTACGTCACGGAAGGATGAAGCTTATAAGAGAGGGGCCATAGCCAGGTTAAGGCAGCAGGGCAGGAGTTACAAGAGGAGAATGAATGATGAATCGTTAAACAGTCATTCTAAGGGAAGTTATGACTTTCTTTTTTGAGTTTTCACAGCACTAGGGGCTCATTTTTTCAACAGTAGTCTGACAGGTATGGGGGTATGAGAGAGGGGGAGAGACATGCGGCATAGGACCACAGGTTGGATTTGAACCCGAGTCTGCCACGTCGATGACTAAGGCCTCCGTAAATGGGCCGTGCATGCTAACCACTGCGCCATAAACACCTTTTTTCAAAAGCCATCAACAAATCTCCCACCTGAGCTATGCCTCTACAGCTCCTCCAGAGTTACCAAGGGCCTCCTTGTTCGTTTTTAAAATAACGCCCTCTTTGCCTGACCTCTTAAGTAACTGTGTCTTAGGCTTAGAAAAGTGCTGGCTTTATGTATGATAAGGTAAATGTTTTGGTTCTCACTCAACCAATGAACTAAGGCTGAAACAATTAATTGCATTGATTGTGATTATTCAATCATTGAAATAATTTTTAACTAATTTACTAATCAATTAATTGTTAACTGGAGTATAGATACTCTAAAACATACCTTTAGCTGATAGAGCTAGATTGTAGAAATATATCATTATTTTACATGTCAGATTAATTTTTTTCCTGTTAATGTGGTTTATCATGAACTCTTCAAGTGAAATACTTTGAGTTTCACTTTCGTAAAAAGTCATCTTTAAAGTATCTTTGGATATCCGATTAATCTAAATAACCAATCTATAGATTAATCGATTTGCAAAATAATTATTAGTTGCAGCCCTACAATGAGCGGAAGAAAAAAAACAAAAAAGTTTAGAGGTTTGAAAAGTAGAGGAGTTGTGAAGGACTAAGAGGAATGGAAGGCCCGGGGGCTGACCTCGTGTCTGGATGCGAAAGTTGATCTTGCTCTCGGAAGGATGGGTGATGGTGTACCCACAGAACTCCACATCCGGGCTGACAAAGGGAAACAGGAAGGTCAAGGTGAGACAAAGTATTGTTCTGAATGTTTTGCTTAAGTGTGCGAAAGGAAAGGTTTTAATCTCTCTGCCAGACCAGAAATAGACCTAAGAAATCACAGATGAAGCATGAAAATCATGAGCCGATTTAATCCTGTCTGTTTTGGGAGGAACCAGTTCCTTCCTACATGCGTGTGAGTTTTTAGATTACAGTTTTATCTCAGGAAAAGAACAAAATCACTGACTTCTTCATGATCATATATCTGAGGGAGTTGCCCAGCGTATGATCTTCATTGTGCATCACAAACGTCACACAGCCGTCATCGGCCCCATCAGCCTGGACCTGTTAACACAAGATAAATGTTACACAGTGCACAACGGCCACACAGAAAATGACCTGGTTTATGTCATGCATATCTTCTTTCCTTCACATCTGAATCAATTAATCTTGTTTTAAAGATAAGAGAAGTTACATTTTGGTCCTTGGGGAAGCATCGGCTTTGAAATATAGCTACAACAGCAATGGCTCCATTTAGGAGCGAAGAGTCATGACTGATAAACAACTGAGTGTACATCACCTAAATTAAGCTGCGTTTAATCACATCATGTAGGCATGGCTGCATCTTAACGACATGCTGCCGTTTCAGGGCATCTGCTGACAGACACACACTGCTACTTTAGGAGTCCAGCTTCACGCGTTGCTTGGTGAAGGAAACTGATTACAAACTCTTTCATTTCAAACAGAGTTGCTTTTTTTGGTCTTGCTTGAAAATACTCCAGCGTTGTACAATAACAAGATCTGACAGCAGCTCTAGGCGCTGCACAGTCAGAATCCAAATTACCTCAAATCTTCTAAATAATCAAATGTGATAATAACAGCTGTAAGTCCTCCTCCACTGCCATGTTTGTTTGATTTGCTGCTGCAGGTTTCTCGCCAGCGTATTACACCTTAACGGGGCGTTACATTTAAAAAGTCACCATTGTGCTAAAAAACCAGGCTGATACGCTAATTTTTTATGAGGGCATCGGCCCTTTGACTGAGATCTGGGCTTCTTCCCTAAGGCATTTAAGCATAGACACTAATTAAGCTGAAACTTTTAGAATTAAAATGGACTTATGCCAACATCCTGACTTTTAATTAACATAACGCCAAAGGGGCCATGTTTGTAAAGACATTTACCTACTTATTTACACATGTAGAGGGAAGTGCTATGAAAAACGTGAACCCTGCGCTGTTAAGATCCCATCAGTTCACTGAGACAGAAATTAAAATTAGCTTCTTTGCTGATATATTTAGCAACTTCCAAGTAAGGCTGGGTAAAAAAAACAACAAAACGATTTAATTGATTATGGATCGATTCCTTTACATTTTTGCAAAATTGATGTCTAGGGAATGAGATTTTATAGTGATGCGCGTGACGTTCACAGTCAAATGAGCAGGAAAGATGCATTCAAGATTACTTAAACCCAGACAGCTTCAAATATAGCCAATAGGTTGACTGGAGACATTAACAAATGGGGGCTAACCAGGAAACACCCTGTAGTTGTTACAGACAACGCTGCAAACATTGTTTGTGCAGAGAAGATAATGCAGCTCATGCATGTCTGCTGTGTCACGTCCTCTTGCTCGAGTGAGGCTTCACTTTTTCACTTTTCACAAACAAGTTTGCACTTATGAGACAGTTTTGTTCACATCTCAAGTTTAAACTGTCTGATTAACAAGTTTGCACTTTGTGTTTAATGTGACGGGAAAAAATATAATACATGAATATTTTGAAACACAGTTGAACCACTTTCATTATTGTAAAAACAGATTGAATCGAAATTAATCGATTTAGAACTGTATGAATCAAAATTGAATTGATTCAGGACTTTGGAGAAAATACCCAGCCCTACTTCCAAGACCCCTTTAGCGACTTTTTTTCCTCAAAAAAAGTGACTAGCAATAAATAGAATAGAAAATCCCTTTATTGTCCCACAATGGAGAAATTCTGGTGTTTACAGCAGCAAAAAGATTAAAGAAAAAATGGTCACACAAATGTGGACCTTAAAAAAATGATACTAGTGAAATGTTAAAAGACAAACAATAAAATACTGTACTGTAAAGTGTTTTAACAATATAAAACTGTGCACCTGGAGAATAAATAACCAATATACAGCTATATTTTTACAATGATGGCTATTAGAAAATAGCAGCAACATCAGAGATGTGCAAAATGACAATGGCTAAACTTTTGAAAAAAAACCTCTAAATCATATCACAAACTCTGCCTCACACTGATAACACCAAACCAAAAGTACTGCATATTTGCACCATATATATTAATGCTCTGAACGTCCATATTAATGCGTTTTCTGCACCATGTTTTTTCTTCCACAATTTTTAAATTTGATCACTGCTGCACTTTATGGAACAGAAATGTTCATTTACTGTCTGAAAAGCTGGACTATACGAAATTTTGTTTTGTATACAGTGTGTGTGTACAAAATGACAATAAAAGGTGTCTACTGTAATTTTATGTCTAGTCTAAGTTCAAAATACAAAGGCCGTCATGGTACAATATGATTTCCATGACATCCAGAAGTGATGAAGAGGTTTGTTATTTTTATTTATTGTATTTTATCAGTCTGTGTAGGATATAGATTTAATACATGCCTAACTTACTGCAGTCATAGTCACCGTTTTGTCAACTCTGAGCTGAAGTAGCGCAAAGATGTCTGTCTCCATATATCGCTGATCTTTATTTATTCACTGGATTGCTGATTGCCCCCAAAAATGAAGCCACTGTCCGCTGGTTCTCCCCCCTCCCATGGAGATGCGCAGTAAATGCCAAATGGGTAGCATTTGGCTGCAAAAACAAGCAGTTTGCCGGCTGTGGGAAGACATTTCCAGGTAATTT